AAGTTGTACCTTGAATGCAGTGTTTTTGACTGAAGATACTTCATCATGACTACATGTACTAGAGCTTGTCTGAAATGGTTATACCTGTGACAGTAATACAGTACGAGATGTGTATATCAACATGTGCCTCCTACAAATAAAGACTTCTTGTTGTTTTTTGGTACATTGTGTTCTGTGGTCCAATTTGTAATAGCAGCTCCGTAGTCCTGTGGTTTTAGTAGGATTTTTTTTTTTGGCAGGATTTTTTTTTTTCGCCCTCTCGCATTAGTTTTGGGGTCTCCAGAGGATGTCATCCATAAAATTTAATCAGTGTGGCCTTACCTTAAAATACTTTAATTTTAATAGCTGGAATTATTTTTCGCTGAAACGATTTTTTGGGTCTTTTGTGTGGAATATATTTTTACTGGTTTTTGACGAGTTCATGGAGAATATAGGAAAAACGGTATATTTACTGGATTTTATTTTCACTGAATCATTCCTTCACCCAAAATAGCAAAAAATTTATTCTAAGCGAAAATAAAGTATTTTACAGTAAGTAGTAGTTTCATGCAGTATACAAGATGGCGCAATAGAGTAAATAATAGCTGACTGTGGTATACCTATATTTTAATCACCATTTTTACTAGTGCAGGAATTGTGTTCTTTACACAGTAAATAGCACATGATGAACACAACTTACCATTTCTACTAGCGCTGCGAATCCTTTTCTGTGTACAGTAATTGGCATTTGATGAACCATTCCCACATTATCTTTCATATGAAACACCAAGTCTGGTATAGATTCATTAGAGATCCTTATGCCAGCATCACTAATCATCACAAAATCGTATTTAGAAGCCAGATATGCCGGCATCATGTTATTTATCTTGGGGTTTATACCAACTGGATGACCACCTAAAAAATGAAAACAAGAAAATTCAGATTTTGTTAGCTGAAAATCATGAATAAAAACTTCCGCAGATACATGTACCAACAATCACATGTGATCCATACATGAATTTATTGCAACTTTCCCTTGTTCAGCTCCAAATTTGACAACGTTTTTTTATTTTGTATATATTCATATGTATCTATGGTACATGTTTAGAAGATTTTTTTGGCATGATTTGTAATGATAACAAGACATGAATGTCACAGTCCTTGTTATTTAATTATAAAATACTCATGTTAAAATAACACATGGAACATCTGCAAACAATTGAATTAATATGTACTCTATGTGGCTACAACTCATCATAAAGTAATTTCCCTTAATCTGGTATTGTACTGATATAACTGAAAACTTCAATTGACCCAGGTCCAAAACAAGTGCAACCAATTTATGTCTCATACATGTATACATGCTCAAGAAATCATAAATCTGAGTAAACCTTGATGTACCTTTAATAATAACTTGACTTCTTTGTTAATTCAGGTCTTTGTATATTACCAGGACCTGGGTTTGTTTCAGTATTACATAATTCCCTTCAAAATTATATAAGCTAATTATTTTGAGCATGATCAGTTGTTCTCTTAGTGGTGGTAATTTTGGATGAAAATCATGAAAAAGACCCACTTAGGATTTTCAGATCTGGAAAAAAAATGTATGCGCTTATTCGACAGAGACCTATTCATCAACCTTCCAAGTTACATCAATATCTGCTGCAGAATTTCTGAGAAAATGTTAGAGACGTCATAAACAGAATTTGGAAATAAGACACTATACTCCCTTTTCAGGCTGTGCCTTAAACAGGGACTAAAAATGTGGACAAAGGAACTGAGAATACAACAGTGAGAGTACACAAGACTTCTTTCACTGTGGATGAATGCAAGGATTATTATTAATAAATATTTACCTATAAACAGCTGACAATCAACTTTAGGATACTTTGACATCAACGGTTTGACAATACTAATGGCAGGATCACATTCATCATTGATGCAAAATAATAATTCATACTGAAAACAAAAAAATAAAAGTATAATTAACAAAAATAAAATAAAAATATAATTGTCATCGTACGTCTTCCACAATGTAGGCTGAAAATACTTTTAATGTCATAATTTTATTTAAAATGAATAACTAAAAGATACTGCCATGTGAAAACAAAAATATGGAAATTCTACATATGACTGAAATAGACAAGTAACAACCGTGTCAATCAAATATCAATTACGTTGCAATATAATTCTAGCCCGATTCCCGGAAATGATTTTTTTTTCTTGATTAAACATGTCGGAAGTTGTATTAAATATGCATAATTGTATGTAAACACACACTGAATGTTTTTATTAAAATAACAAGAATCCAATGGGTTTTTGGCAGTCTTTTTGATACACAAATGGTGTAAACTCTTATTTGTACTCTTATTTTTAAACTCAATATGGAGAAATTGTTAAAAACACAATGTAAAATAATGGTCATGTGACATTTCAGAAGAATTGAGTCAGTACAACACAGCATTCTGATTGGTTAATAACAGACTTGACCCATTAGGTCAAAGGACGTTGTTGCAGGTCAAATCGATACAATTAATTTCGCAATTTTATTTTCCCTCAAATACATAATATCTCCTCAATCTGTCACATGGTGAATTAAAATTGTCATTTGCACCTTTTTCTGAAAAAAAATCATGATTTTCTGAGTTGAGGATCATGGGCGCTAACGCTGTCGAGTACGGTATTTTAAAATGTCATGAACACTTAGCCTTTAATATGTACCATGGAAGTACATGCATTACTATATGCATAGAGCAGCACTTCAAAAACAAAAGCATTTTTAATTTATCACAGTCACTTTCAACTATATTCAACTCCTTTTTATAAAAACTGTGTGGATTATGACCACAACTATAACAGGAGTAATTTTTGTCTATGTAGTAACACACTGCTAATACAGAAAATATGGAATTTAAGGGTTTGATACCATTGTTAAAATTCCCCCAGGAAGAATCAAAACAATTGAAGCTTTGACTTTTCTTGTTAAGCCCTCAAGTGCGAAAACCATAACAAAGCTTACTATGAAGACAATAACACATTGTGCTTGCATACTAAAATTACTGTATATGAGAAGTGTTCTCTCCCCAGACTTTTAATCAAGCATGGCAGTTCACAGGGGCGGATACAGGATTTTTTTATGGGGGGGGTCCAAACATTAAAATCGCCAGGTTAGGTTAACGATTTTTTTATACTGTAAAATGACTAATTTTCACTGGGTTTAAATTTCACTGATTTACCATTTCAGGCATATTCAGTGGGTTTTAAATTCACGGTTTCGTCATTTAGATAATGTGTTCTATGCTAAATTTTACATATTCACTGTGTTTTAATTTAGCGCATTTTTCCAGTCAGCGAAATAAGCTAAATTAAACCAAAAAGCCTTTTCAGCAAAAATTTTATTCCAGCGAATATAAAGTATTTCACAATTATGGTTCTAAGAAATATGCAAATTGGATATTATTAATATGCAAACTATGCACAATGTCATTTAACTTACCTTAGGGTAATCAACAGTAAAATGTGATTCTAAATTATCGGCTAAGTTTGGATCAATACCAACTAGAGGTTTTAAAATACTAATTCCCGGAGCCTTATCTGGCGGAGGCGGTTCTCTTTTCTTATTGCAATGTATTCGACTAGAAGAGAAAAGAATGTCAAAGGTCAGTCACTGAATAAAGATTATGGTCAGTGGATATACAAGATGAATACGCGAGTCAAAAGTTTTACTTGGAATACCACCAATGCTACAAAGCCCAACAAACAATATCACATTTCATGATAAAAATATGACTATAGGGTCAACAATAATGTACATGTACTGAGCAATGAGTATTTAGTAATTTACAGTTGTTAAATAGCAATGAACCATACCAAGACAAATCATAAGGTGAATGGGATTGAAAGCAAAAATTCATACACGTACCAGTAAAAAATCCATCTTGAGTAATTTAAATGCCATTTAACTGACATGGGAATTTATTTTTAAAGGTAAAGAAAAACATGGTAGAAGGGATATGCAATTATAACATACTTGGTACCAGCAACAATTGATTTTCACACACGATGATACATATAAATGGATTTATATGATTTGGGAACAATGTAAGAAGTGATGGTGGGCCAAACAAGAAATAGAACAATATATAAATATGATGGTACAATAAACAGGTGAAAATAGAAGCATTGCATTAAATAATGACATGCTGTACAATATAACAGTATGGTGATGGATAGCATTGGGATTTTGTAGGCCTTTAATAGTGCTACAACAAGTGTTCTGAAAAACCACACAACAGTCCAGCGTATGTTAACTTTCAAGTTGTCTGCCAAGCTAGCTTTGTCTTTTTATAAAAACTTAAAATTATTAAAGCAAGTACCATTAATAATTAACTAATTTTTTGTAACATAACTATTTAGCACTAACACACAAACATTTTTGGTGACACAGCTATAGTTACTACATGTATTAGCTTATTCCCTGATCCATCAACAATACAAAAGAATATCATACATTGATATACTGATCTTAAAACATGTATTGTGTTATGGAATTTGAAATTTGGCAATATGAAGGCGAACAATAATACAGCTTTAGTTATTTTTTTATAGTATATTTGAAACAGTATCTCACCAGCTCAATGGAAGTGCCGGTCATGAATATTAATGAGCTATATGAATATTAATTAGTCAATGAAGGGGTCCTCACATATTTGAATGGTCAGTCCCTAAGCAGATATACTAATTATTCCAGTTATCACAACAGGTTTTGTTGCAACATAGCTGCTGTATAATTTAACTGGAAATCTGGCAACAGTAAAATGCTATTTTTAGGCAGTTTGACAAAAAGTGGCTCACTCATAGTGAATTAGTTATTAGACTAATTATCCAGTTACTGTAGGTTTAATTTTAGAAAACTGGATGTTTCAAGGATATTCACTAGGTTCAAAATTCACCAATTCATGACATACATTCATTACTATTCACTGTGTTTTGAATTTGGCAATCAGCGAAATAAGCGAAAATAAAACCAAGCAAATAATTAAGCTTTACCAGGTATTTAAAATTATTATTCAAAGCACCATAACAGTTCTAAAATTATATCAACTTTATAATTTTGTTAACTGTGGCAGTAAAATTAGATTTTAGTTTTACATTTTACATTCAAATGTTGTGGCTTTAGGTAGGAATTAATCACCTAACTACCACAGTCTTCTCTCATACCAGTCTTGTCTCCATTGCTACAGGAGCATGTGTAAACAAAAGTACAAAAGGTGTTGTAAATACCTTCACGATTACCATTACAGTTAAATCTATTCACTCAATACAGGACAATTGTACTCCATGGCCACCAATTGTACAGTACAGAGCTGAAAGGTTATTGACATGTACTGACAGTGCATACCAGCTTGCATTGTATTTATGAAAATTCAACTTAATTAGTTTTCCTTAGATGTACTGTTTTATGAAATGACTACCTTACATTGCTACCAACATGCACTTCTTTAATGACACTTGTCAAGTGTTTGGTTCAATAATGCTTACATGGTTGACATATACAGGTCATTCACAACAAAATTGACATCAAAACTGTGAATGCATAGCTAAGCATCAAGTTCAAGGACAAACATGCTGCATAGAGATTCTTAAACTTAATGTTGGAATACTGCAGCAAATTTTGAATCGACTTCCTGCTGATCATGCCTGGTAGTTATATAAAAAAACATGTTACATCATAGTATTTTAGAAAAAAATAAAAGGTAGACATTGAATTTAATGAAAAATCAAAATACAGTGACTCTTTAAAATTAAAGTATATTAACCAGATTTTTTATCTTTTTTTTAGGCTTTTATGGTAGAAGTCACGTGGTTCTACATGTAAATGTGAAATGTGGTTTCTGAGACAAAGTTCAGTCTATATACTGTTAGTACTGGAATTGAAGCACCAAAAGAACAAACAAATATGGCCATTATGTCATACTGTAAAATACTTTATTTTCACTTGGAATTAATTTTTGTTATTTTTGCTGAAGGAATGATTCAACGAAAATACAATCTAGCGAATATACCTTTTTTTTCCCTACATTTTACATTCAGCCCAAAAGTCTTTTTAGCAAAAATTAATTCCAGCTAAATAAAGTATTTTATAGTATATGGTCTAAAATGGTGATGGTATTTACTGAAAATTTTACAAAATGTAAAAATATTTACACTGAATTTTTGGTGGTGAAAAATCTGGCTCTCAACGTGTTAAAAACCAGTGTAATTTAATGTTTTTTTATGAAACTTAAGGCATAGTAATTGTGCATTTACATATGAAATTCAATCATCAAATAAGAATAAGCATGTTTACTATTAAGGATGCATTTCTAATACTGCAAATGGATATACTAGTATTAAAATATTTCAGGAGCATGGAATACAACTAAAAAAAAAATAATAGATTCAAATCTATTTAGAATGACATATTCCAATTCACAACATATAATTTAGGATTTACATATTTGATATGGAACAAGGAAAATTCATGTAGAGTAACAGGTTTCCAGTGATGTTGTCCCAATGTAACACAGATCAGTGTTTCTCTCTCTTATTAGATAACAAAATTTAAAACGAATTCTCAAAATATGTTTTGTGAAAAACGTAAGCATGTACACCATTACATATACGTCTACAATATACAATATTATATTGTAGAGGAGAAGGTGATCATGTAGATGAGAAGTGCATAGTTTGGTTTACATGCCAGTTAATATACGCTGGTACATTATTATTTTGAGATTTTTTCAAACCAAGCCATGCCGAAACTTAAACAAAGCCTTTGAAATTTCCTGACTCTTAATTTATCTAACCCCCAACTTTAACTTCTACCTCGAAACTGAATAAATCTAAAACACTACACTTCTGTCTGAAGTAATTTAAAATGGCATTCCTACAACTGTCATCAAAATGACATTCCTACAACTGTCATTAAAATGGCATTCCTACAACTGTCATTAAAATGGCATTCCTACAACTGTCATTAAAATGACATTCCTACAAGTGTCATTAAAATGGCATTCCTACAACTGTCATTAAAATGGCATTCCTACAACTGTCACTAAAATGGCATTCCTACAAGTGTCATTAAAATGGCATTCCTACAACTGTCATTAAAATGGCATTCCTACAACTGTCATTAAAATGGCATTCCTACAACTGTCATTAAAATGGCATTCCTACAACTGTCATTAAAATGGCATTCCTACAACTGTCATTAAAATGGCATTCCTACAACTGTCATTAAAATGGCATTCCTACAAGTGTCATTAAAATGGCATTCCTACAACTGTCATTAAAATGGCATTCCTACAACTGTCATTAAAATGGCATTCCTACAACTGTCATTAAAATGGCATTCCTACAACTGTCACTAAAATGGCATTCCTACAACTGTCATTAAAATGGCATTCCTACAACTGTCATTAAAATGGCATTCCTACAACTGTCACTAAAATGGCATTCCTACAACTGTCACAAAACACTACCCCTAATTGAAGCACTACATAAATACAAACTTAGTCGTTTTATTATTTAGATTACCATGGTATTTTTTATCATAAATTCAATACTTTGATTACTAGTACACTATTTAAAAGTATAATCCACCATCCAGAATACGTTGGTAGTGACAATAATTGTTAAAAAATGTACTCAATTTATGCACCAGTCAATGTTATCCTAATGTGACATATTAGACAGGATTTTCCTTAAGATTCAGTTCTGGGAGAGTGGGAACGGAACAATCACTGAATTTTATGAATCCATGTTAGAACTTATTTAATTTCACTTACATGTAGGTTGAGGGTGGGGTCAATGTGGGTGATTCGTTTTGTTTTAAGTAGTGATTTACAACATTTCCTGCCCCAGAGATTCGGTCATTTGGTAAATTCAACAACAGTTCAATTCCAAATTGACAACCGAATCCTAAGGTAATGGGGAGGGGTGAAGGGTTGACACTGACTGGTGCATTATGGCGACACGCCTATTCAAATAAAAATTCAAGGACGTGTCACACAAGTGTATTATTCACGTAGAATTATACATAAAACTACGATTACTGAGTGAGTTGGCAATATTATGTAAATTGAATCAAGGAAGAATGTAAAAGGATCATTTTTCAGCGTAGAAGTAAAACAATTCATGAAACACTACGTGCAACTGCCGCTGAGCGCGATGACGTATATATTTGACAATAATGTCGGCGCATAGCAAAGCCACACTGGAAGTGAAAGGGGTAGTTGTTTAGTTAATCACCAAACAAATTGCATAAAGCCGTGATAAAATATGAATCAGAAAGTTGAATATCTTACGTACCAGTAAATTATTGATAAAATATGAAGAAAGATAATTGCAGCATATGTTATTGACGAAAATCCTGCCAAGGCGGTGAGTGCCAAGACAATATTGGATACCATTATCGTACGTTAACGACTGGTCAGAGGTCACAGCAGTGGAAACACACCAACTATTTCGACATCGACTTGGCACTACCGTCCTCACTGACGTGTGGGGGTAATAGTTTAGTTCAGCGCGGTGAAGTTCAGTGTTGATGCTGTTCAGGACACCTCTTCCCGTAACGTAAATGACTACTCACACAGCCAGCTCACGACGGATTAGAACCAGGAAACATGCACAATTGAATTCTGGGTATGGCTATGACAACAAGCCCCGTGATTTAACAAGATGTTCACAAGGGTCTAATTGGTTAATAAAAGAAGCTTAGTTGATAACATTTATTTACGACTGAAACATCATGGTACCTAAAAATTAGCGTTTGCAGCAATCAGCTAATGATACTTTCTTGTTTTTACCCAGCAGCCAGCTTGAATTAAGTGTAAAAAGCAAGCGTTTCTTTACGCATTAACTCAATTAACCACCACGTACTGAAAACGAACGTACATTCTTCCGATCTGACCTAAACTTCCCGTTTTATTTGGTAATATGTTCCGGAATATGTCGTGGCGGCAATGCCCTTATATCAGGGTCAAAGGTCGGTGAAACGTGCCGAAACACCGTATATAAATGGTTTCTGAGACGTCCAAACCAATTCCCGTTTTTGAGCTTCTGCAACAATAGACATGTTATTACTTGTCCAGGCCCTACGAATGCTAAATTTGACACACCCGACTCGTGATGACTTATACCATAAGTGAGTAATAATACTGTGAGTTTTTTAAAATAAAATAAAATAAAGTAAAATAAAATAAAATAAAATAAAATAAAATAAAATAAAATAAAATAAATAAAATAAAATAAAATAAAATAAAATAAAATAAAATAAAATAAAATAAAATAAAATAAAATAAAATAAAATAAAATAAAATAAAATAATTAAATTACGGTAGAGTTTTTGTTGTGCCTATCCGCAAACAGGTGGATGCATATTTGAAACGCCGGACGAACAAGTTTTTGGGATTTTGCAAATGTGTGAGGATTATTTAAATGGTCATGGACAACTTGAATATCCGTGATTAGCGTTTGGCATAGATTGTTTGGCATATACTCAGCAAATCTTATCTAAACCTTCGTTTTAAGCGAGAAATTGATCCCTTGTTAATGCGTTTAGGTTTAAATATTTGCGCCATAAAATTTATCAGTCATTAACAATTGTAGTCTGAACATACTACTGAATTCGCAAATTGGCCTACAGAGGTCGCCGTTGATCGATAAAAAAAAAAACAACCGCAAAGGTGGGATCATGCGCCATTAATAATGTTAACGAAAGTGACTTCGCTCATCGCTTTGCTAGCAGACATTACTCTGTAATCGCGTTGCGCGCACAGTTATTGGAATGAGCCTTATGAATTTGTTTTGTAATATGGGTAATTCGGTGACTCCGTACAGTGGACATGGAGTTAAGGAGAGCCCTTAATATTAGTTTGAGATAAAGAACAGATTCGTTCATTGAAAGTGAAATATGTATAATTATTTAATACCACAATTCATCACAGGAAATACCCGAGCTTGAAAATGCTTTGAATACGCACAGTGCACATTAGTTGTCATATTAAATTTTCAAGGTATAATATTCACATTACTTCGAAATATCGATACGAACGTGACGTATGTTAGTTGCGCCATCACAGGTGAAATTGTGCAATATTTAGCCAATCAGATTGCTTCAATCTAGTACAGCAATTAATTGTATTGATTGAAATTATATTTTCATTTTCGTGTACTGTAAAATACTTTATTTTCGCTTGGAATTAATTTTCACTATTTTCGCTGAAGGAATGATTCAGTGAAAATAAAATCCAGCGAATATATCTTTTTCATATAATTTCTATCCAACTCGTCAAAAATCAGTGAAAATAAATTCCCTACAAAACACCCACAAAGTCTTTTCAGCGAAAATTAATTCCAGTTAAAATAAAGTATTTTATAGTATGCAAGAAAGGATATCGGGCGTATCGCTGTGGACGATTGAGGTTTCTCCCAGTTTGACTAAGTGATCTAACGAATCAACACAATTTCACAGATTACATGTCTGTGACGGGCTACATTTCTCGATGCAGTCTCCCTTTACGTGTAATTTGTATGTGTGTCAACAAACCTCTCCGCTTCCAGAGGGTGAATCAAACATTCTGCACGAAACTCTGCAAGTGAATGTGTATCATACCCACAACGGTTACTACAAAACGATCACCCATCCACTGGTTCAACGCTAAATTGAATTCGTGACGCAACGGCGCATCAACCCGAGCAACAAAACAATTTTGCTATTGCCTCACGAGCGGTGACCCTGCCCTCTATAGGCCGAACATGATAAAACATTTGTAAAGACGTAATATCTTTCTCCAACTGCACGCACTCTTGAGAACGAAACAAGCATGGGTTACAACAGTGATTGTTAATCATCACAAACTGCCCGCAAAGTCAGCTCGGAATATTTGAATTGTTGAAACTATGCCAAATCAGATACGATGTCAGACATTCTCGCTTATGTATTTATCACATGGGTTTATAGAAAGAGAGGTAAACGTACACGAAATCGTGTGATCGGACGATGGCGTTTCACACGTCCCATGAGACATCCCAATCTGTCTTCTTCACTGTTGAATCAGTCTTTTCCAATGTTCAATCCGTCTTCTTCAATGTTCAATCCGTCTTCTCCAATGTTCAATCCATCTTCTCCAATGTTTAATCTAATCCCAATATGTCTTCTTCATTGTTCAATCCGTCACTCCAATGTTCAATCCGTCTTCTCCAATGTCCAATCTATCTTATCCAATGTCTATTCCGTGTTTTCCAATGTCAAACTCGTTTTCGTACATGTTCAATCTAACCCAATCTATCTTCTTCAATGTTCAATCCGTCTTCTCCAATGTCAAATCCGTCTTCTCCAAAGTCTTCTCCAACCAGTTTTCCCTTACTATGAAAATCCTTCTTCTCCAATGTCAAATCCGACTCTAAACTACCTGCTCTGATGTCTAATCCGTCTCCGCCATTTTTCATGTCGTCTTTTCTAATGTTTAATTCGACTTTTCTAAAGTCAAATCCGTCTTCACCAATGTCAAATCAAACCTCAATCTGCGTTCTCCAATAGTCAATTCGATTCGAATGTCCAATGCGTCCGCTCCAATGTCAATTTCATCGGAATTTGTTTTTTTCTAATGTACAATCGATCGTCTCTAATGTCCAATTTGTTTTTTCCGATGTTCAAACTGTCTACTTCATAATATCAACTCCGCCTTCTCTAAAGTCCAAACCATCTTCTCCAATGTCAAAATTGTCTTCACGAAAGTCCAACCTGTCTTTTTCAATGTCCAATCCATCTTCTCCAATGTGTAATGCGATCCCAAGGATCAGTACTTAATTGGGACTGAATTTTAATTTGATCAATTCAAATGTAATAATAGTGGTAGTGATAATTTGATCACCATAAAATACCTGAAATGCAAACAACGTATGATTTTATTGTTTTGTAATGTATTGTTAATGTATTTAAATTGTAGTTGTTTTGTTATAATGAACTTTCTAACATTTGAACCACAAGCTGGTTTAGATACTTTGCAGTGCTCAATGTAGTTTGTCCAAATGAGTTTCTGGAACGCAGAGTTAATAATTAAGCGTGAATAAAATTCACTATCATAATGGTAGTGTATAGCCTACTAATTTACCGCCCTCTACATGTGAAATAACACATGACAAGATTTGTTTATCTCCAGAGGGCGCCATCGAGTTCTCGCTGCATGAAGCATGCTGTTTCTCAAATATTGTAAAATACTTTATTTTCGCTTGAATTAATTTTCGCTATTTTCACTGAAGGAATGATTCAGTGAAAATAAAATCCAGCGAATATACTTTTTTTCCTATATTTTAAATTCAAGTTGTCAAAAATCAGTGAAAATTAATTCCATACAAAACATCCTAAAAATCTTTTCAGTGAAAATTAATTCCAGCTAAAATAAAGTATTTTACAGTAATATTCCGAGAATTGAACAAATACTTTTAGTATTCATGGCAACTCGCTGATTTGAATAGTTTTAGCCCAAATCATATAACTTACTTAATTTATCTAAAAAAATTTAAATTTGTGAAATGCTTTTGAAATTCATCTGTGAAAGCTTTGGGAAACTAAAGTCAGCTATTTAGTATTATTAAAAGTATAACAATGAGTGAGGATTGTTACGAGCTCGTTTATATATTTAATAAATGTTGATTAATATTGTTATTGTTTATTCTAATTTAATTACCTGGAAAATATTATCCAATGGCATAATACGTAACAGAATATTTTCGAAATTCTAACTGTCCAATGGCGTAATGCGTAGCATAACATACTAGGAACTATAAAATATCCAATGGCGTAATACGTATCACAACTAAAACTACATATGAGCATAACCCGCTGACAGACGACGATTATTATTGAGAACATTAAAGACATTTAATAGTCGTAAATGTAATCAGCACAGACTCTTGTCTTGAGAAGACATTCATTTTTCTGTCACACACAAGAATCATCGTTATACCTTTGCTGACAGAACCGCTTGGAGTTCTGGATTAGCAGAGTTTTCGCAAATCGATATTCAACAAAACACCGAAACGGTAAGTAAGATAATTTGTGACGTCACACTATTTAGGGGCCAACCATTTGAAATCATGGGGGTGGGTGGTAGGATGGGCTGCACATTTTTATTTCTCATAAATAAGCCAATATTTTGTTTACGCACTACACGCATTCAATTTCCTTTTCACTCGGTGCAGAACTTGCATTTTTTCATTTCAACTATTCTTCTAGCCAACCCCATGATTTCAAAAATGGTTTACCCCTTAAGCAATGCTCAACACAGAGAGTTATTGCCTATTTATTTGTTTACATTATTCTGTATCATGGTGGATAGAAATAATATATTCAATTCATGTTTAGGACTACGTTTTTGATATATATGTAGCAGGTATTGCCAGGCGAGCGAGTACATCCGAGCAACTATTAATTTACTAAAATAGAACTGACATAAACCACGTCGAAGCGGAAATCGCGAGTTGAGCGGGATTCAAGATGGCGCCACGCACAATTTTGGTTACGATTGCCTAAACATTGAACAACATTCTGAAGATTTTTTTATTATGAGCTGTCCCGCTTCGCATAATTTGTGAAACAAAACAAAATTGCGGT